GGTTCTAACGACGTCGACAATCGATACTTCAACATGCTCTGTTTTTTCATGTGACCATGTGGAACATCATTATTGACTTCTTTCATTAACTTCTTATGAGTTAATTTCTTCGGCAAGGTTATCGTCACAGTATGTGTGGACTGAAAGACGATGCCAAGAGATTCATCGGGCATTATTCTACCTTCATAGTATACCAAAGCAGTAACAGTTCCTCTCATCGACATGTTCCAGAAATATATATGATCATGCAAAGAGAAGACCAAAATATGAACAAAATGTCAATGCCTTCAAACTATATAATAATCAAGAAGCGTCAAATAAACTTACGAGTGAGATTGAATTGAGCCTGATGATCAATTCCCTTCTTTTCTTTAACCTTGTGTCTATAGTTTTCTTATTCACCACTATTTGCTTGAAATACAAATTGGAATAAAATAATCATTTTTTTAGTATAATAGCTTGTTGACAAGATGTGGAAGAGACTTGGTCAGCCTGCAGAGAATATTCCTGACGTGGCATGAACCTCGCGTTTTGCAAAACATGAGTTCCAGAGATTCTTGGTGTGGCAGCAGTTGATTTGACATAGTGGTTTGACATGTATGTCCCGTTTTGCTAAGATATTCCTGACTCCATTAGTAGATATTCCCGACTATATTTGCCTATTTAAATTCCCCTTGCTCTATTTAACCAAAACAAACCATCTCCGCGAAATCTGCTTGAAAAACTTCTAGTTTGAAAAATGCATCCTCTTTTGGTTTAATCGGCAATTTCCTTTGCATACTTCTCGAAACAGTGATGGGTTTTTCTCCTTTGCATTTTGTACCCACGGTACCAAAAACAGTATTAAGACATCCTCTTCTGGTGGCATCTAGATTTTCATTTGGGCCTTCCGAGAAACTTCTTCCTCCGTGAATTAGGTCCAGGCAAACACCTTTTAAGAAACGCTTCTGAGCTTTTTCCTTTATGTTCAATACTGATCGCACGAAGAAAAAATATGCAATTTTCCTTTGTGTTCCTCTAGCACGACGATATATGGTTATTATGAAAGGCAACATCTATTTCTCATTTCCCCTCCTGTGCGCTAAAATTAAAATGTAAAAATTGCTTAAGTTATTTACAATTTCCCATATGTGTTTACATCAGTTTCAATTGAAATAGAAGTTACAAAAATTATGCTTGTAACCTCAAACATTTTCATAAATGATATATTTAATAATAATTGAAATATATCATATCATAAAAAATAATAGAGAATGACAAAAAATGTTCAATGTATAAAGTTTAGTTAGTAAATTGAAAAGTATGAAAGTTGAGTGACTAAAATAAGAGAAGAAGATAGTTGAGTGATGGTTTGTGTAATCTACCCTTTTCTCTTTTCCATTGAAACTAGTTTTTTTAGATCTAGTTTTATATAAGTCTACTTCTCAAGGAAAATGCCTTGAATATTTATTCTGTTTGCTTTCTCCTCGCATGAAAAAAAAAGCTTATTGCAAAATAATTTTTCATACTGTACATTCTTTAAGTGTCTATCATTTTCTATAATTATTTTAAGATTAATTTTTAATATTTATTAAATAAATATTTGATAAGTATTATTCATATATATTTTTAAAAATGCACAAAATTGAAATATGTTACCTATTTTTCTCCCTCATGACGCTCCAATTTGAAATTGTGGATAAACTACGTGATTAATCATTTTTGTTTAAATTTCAATAAATTCAAAAATATAATATTTGATCATTTTTATTTTTATTTAATTAAGATAGGTTACTAAGGGTTAATAGTCAGACTTTTAACGGATTATTGACGTAGCACAATGAATATATAAAATTGAAAAGAGTGAACTACATAAATGATCATTAATATTTGAGTAAGTTTTCGTTCTCCCAGTAAAATTTCAAAAGTAATAAATTGGTTGAGATAATTTTACAATATATATCCGATAATGATCCTAACCGATACAAAAATCTACCATGAAAAAGGAAGCAATTGAGGGTGAAGAAAAGTAAAAGCTCTTCTTCAAAACCTTGGAGATTCAAATGATCCCGAGCTGCAGAGGAAGACACTAACGCATGTAATTTACATATTTTTTTGACATATTAGAGAAATACAAGGTGCTAGGGTAGAGGATAATAAGTTTCGCATCTCCCTGCATTATCGGCAAGTTCCACCGAAGGTAAACGTCGAACAATTCCGTTTCAAGAACACTATAAGATTCATCACTTAAAGCGCAACGTTAATCAATTCTTATCGACATGCAGAACCTAGAGATTCTATTATCTGCATAAGCCTTGTATGCAGCAACCATCTTCTTCTTCTGCAGCTCGGTATAATTGAATCTCCAGGTTTTTGATTTTGAAGAAGAGCTTTTACCTTTCTTCATCTTCGTCTGCTTCCTTTTGTGTCGCTGGAGTTTCGTATCAGTTCGAATCGCTCTTAGATGTATACTATAAAATAGTCTCGATCAATCTGTCACTTTTGAAATTTCAATGGAAAAAACGAATGTTTACTCAAATATCAGTGATCATTCGTATAGTTTTCCCTCTATAATTTTATATATTCACACGTTTACGATCCGTTAAAAATCTGAAGACAGTTAACATCATTGATCACATCTTAATTAAATAAAATTAAAGTAACGAAATATTATATATTTTTTAATTCAATAAGGAAATGTATATAAAACTTAATCGATATTGATCAATCCTATAGTTTATCCTAAATTATTATACAATGACTTAAATATAAAATAAGTGTCCCAATTATATCGCTTTTCAATAATTTGTGCCTAAACTATTTTTTGAATCATCCATATGCCTAGGGGTGTAAATGAACAGAGTGTTTGGTGAACTATTCGTGAATCGTTCGTATAACGTTCTTTTATGTTCATTTGTTAAGTTAAATAAACGAATATGAACAAAAAAAATTTATGTTCATTTAATAAACGAACGAACACAAACAGAGGTGTGTTCGGTTTGTTTATGTTCACTAACAAGCTCGTTTATGAGGTAGATTATTAACTCGTTCATTTATGTTCATGAACAAACATGTTTACCCGATTTCCTTTTTCTTTTATTTTTTTACATTTTAAATATTGGTGAAGATAAGTATTAAATATAACACATGATAAAAGTTGCATTTAAAACTATGAATTTTAAGGAGTTTAAGCACCAGTGGTGTAATTTTATAATTTTTCTTTAGTTTGCAAATGAAATTAAAAATCGAATACATAAACGAACAATAAATAAACACTAAAACAATGCTAAACGAACACTAAATGAACGGTAAACGAACATGTTCATGAACACGTTCGTAAATATATAAACAAATACGTTCGTAAACATTAAACGAACGCTAAACAAATGTGTTCATGAACAAGTTTGTGAACACATAAACGAACATGTTCACGAACATGAATATCTTAAAAAATAAACAAACGAACATAAACACGATATTAAAAATTTAAATGAACACAAATTGAATACGAACACCTTCAAAAATAAACAAACGAACACGAACATAACCTTGTTCGTTCAAGCTCGGTTCATTTACACCCCTACATATGTCTAACGTTACAAACATTACCACTCTAGGTATCTCGGTTTCAATGACCGTTAAAAAACCTGTTAAGTGGAACATGTCATAATATGATAATTTTGAATTTTTTTTTAAAAAATAAAATATTTTATTTTCATTTTTTCTAAAAAAACCACCAACTCCCTAAATCGCTTATTCTAGTCCCTTTTACTCCAACCGTCAGTCATCTCCAGCCACCTATCTACCGAAGAATGACCACCCATACGTCGCCAATCACTCACTGACTGGTAATAACCTTTATTATTATCTCAAAGCCCAAAATTCACAAATCCTTACACTTCAATCCTTAATCCCTAAAATTTCAAATGCTCAATCCCTTAAATCCTTTGGTCGATCATGGTAATCAACCATTTTATTCGACTATAACAAATGACATTTTAGTTATTTGGTCTGCCATTTAGTCGGTCGATTGACCTTTGGCCGTTTGGTTATGGAAAAATTTGGAGCAGGTAAGGGAAGAAGAAGGGGGCGCGGGTTGGATTTTTTTAAATAATATTTTTATTTTTTAAGAAAAATAAAAATTCTAAAATTGCGACAAATGTCATTTAACGGGGTTTTTTAACAGTCGTTACGGTTGAGACACTTAAATGGTAACGTTAGACACCTGGATGATTCAAAAAATGATTTAGACATCAATTTGTGAAAAACAACATAATTTAATCACTTATTTTATATTTAAGCTTCATACATTTTTGAGAAATATTTATTTATACGGGAAAGGGATAATTTAACCATGAAATGAAAAAAATAGAAAATAGTATATTTGCTTTTCAATTATTTTAGATTGATTGAAAGGAAAAAATCATTCGAAAGAAATAAAATTGGAATGATATATACAATACATGATACTAATATTTATAAATATAACGTTAAGGATATATTAATCTTGTATATATATTTTTAATTAATCTTGTATATATATTTTTAATTAATTACTAATATCTAATCTATTGATAGATAAATTCGGATTGATGCAGAGGCTCATTATAGGGGCAATCCTGCCGATCTAATTTACTTCATTAGCAAACGACAGAGTTTGAACCTCTGACTTTATTTAAAGAATTTAGTGTCTCATCTTACCATATCAGTCTTTAAAGTTGGCACCTTTCCTTAATACAAAATGAAATGAATCATTCTCTAAAAACACACCACCAATAATATAGCAACTTAATGATGGGCAAAACAAAACATTTTCTCCATTTCTATCCAGATTTCGAATCCTAATCATACACAGATTCACTCAACCATACAAAACTCTACGGTTTTCACCTAAACCCTTTAATACCATTTTACAGACTAACAAAGTGGTTGAAGAGAGTACCTAGTACAGGCCATCGAGCTTTATAGATGGGAGTTCTTTCGGCAATGTGACTTCTTCCATGACGGTCGCAATGTACCCTTCATTGCCTCTTTGCTAATGTTTTCCTTAATCCCCTGATAATCTTTCCAAACCACATTAAGTTCATGATAGATAGGACAAAAGGCACAACCAATATTAACAGTAGACCATAGCTGTGCAGCTGCTTAACCTGCTTTGAGGAAAAAAAAAACAAAAAGCAATTGTAGGATGGCAAATTGACATTTAAATGACAATCCATGTTGGCATTTTGAAATCAAAGCTTACAAAGTTAGGGTATTGTATCAAGATTTCGTAATGTTCTGAAGTGAAATTGGGGTTTCTCTGTATTTAGGACATGGGATCATAACAAAACAAATCTATGACCTCAAATTGCAGATATAATGTGTTATAGTTGTAGTGTGTATAGGGATACAACCCTTCAAGACCATCCAAATACATGGAAAATCTAGAAGAAAAAATTAAACATACCCGCGTCGAAGACATACTCATATCCGACACTCACATCTGAGTCCGAGTAACATTGAATAGTTCAATAGTCAGAATCCAAGACAGTTTTAAGATATTTAGATAAAAAAAAATTAGTGCCGATCATAAAGGCTAAACATCTAAAAGCTGACAAGGTAAAGTTTTGCAAGAACCTTTTTACCTGATCATAGTGCAAGTAAACGTGATAGAATAGGTGCATAAACAGGAGTACTCTAGCAACCTGCCAAAGAGAAAGTAACACATTAACTGTGAAAATATAAATGGAAGATATTACTCTTAATACCTAATTTTTCTAAGAGAAAATTTGTCAAATGACATTATCATCATACAAGTGAGTCTGAAAGCAATAAAATGATTTCACTTACCAGCCACGTTACGAATATTACAACTCCGTTGATTAAGTAAGCTCTGGATCTCTTCATTCCAGCCGTGTCAAGATACCTATATGAACCCAGAATATTGTTATTGTAGAGTAAAAGTAATATGCATTTTATGACTGACAGATAAGAGGGATGAACTAGTATGGAGATAAATTTTTACCATCTCAAATTGATCCCAGGAGTCGTAGTCTCAGAAATGAGTACCATGAAGGTATAAAGCTGACCCTCCCCTGTCAGCACAGAATACGCTACAGCAGCTATGGAGAGAAAATGATGAATGACCTGAAATAAAATGATTTTAGGTTGATTCACATCAGCAGAATACATCAGTTGTAACCAACAAGGAATAGATAAACTTAGGGAAAGATTATAATAAAAAATTAAAATACTTACATACTCCATTCTACCTAAAGAAGGGTAAAACCAAATGATCATCCCAATGTCCGCAAGAAAGTAACCAACAGATACCTGTGAAAAGGTGGCATCTAAGATTAATTTAGTTAGAAGCCAGCTACAGGTGATAAAAACATAAACCTAAACCCAAAGAAATAACACAAATTGAAAAGTTTCAGCAAGATTTCTCCCTTTTGTACATGTAACATTTCCACAATTAGTTTCCAACCATATTGAAAACTGCCTTTACAGACAGACTGCATATATTTCTATGGTAGGAAAGAATCCCAACATATTGCAAATTTATCTAGTAATTCATTAGATAGTTTTTCATTCTGAACTATAAAAAAGCTACAACAAAATAAGAAACCTGTATACTACAAATTTCTCATATAAGCCCTTATCCTTATTTCAATATCTCAAATAAGGGCTCAATTGAGTACAATACCCATTAAGGGATAATTAGAGAACGTACATGTGCTAGATTTAGTATTTATTGCTTACTCCAACCAAATCCTAAAACAAAGCCGTTCTAGGTGTTGCATCCTATTAGAGAAACATGGATGGCAATACCTAGGCATCAAGTACCAGCAAATGTGGTGTGGTTTAAGAAGAAAAATCACAGCAATCAAAAGAAATAAGACTGAAAAGCGAGTTGGAAGATGGAAACCGAGAAAGCTTAAGGTCATAGAACACCTCTAGTTTTCCTTTGTTACATTAAAGATAAATAATAACAATAAGCTATGGCTACAAATATTGTTACAGCTTATTTATAGGGTTAGAAGAAGGTTTTAATCTAGCCCTAGATTTAAAAGCTAAAGAAAATTATAATCCTAGCCATTTATATATCTCTAATACTTAATAAAAATGAATTAATAAAATAAATAATGCTCCTACATCATAATGTCAAAAGAATAAGATGTATCATCTAAGTTTACCATTCATTTTAGTGCTAGCCAAGAGAATCAAGATACCAGGCCAAAGGCTTAATTAGAAGATACGCTTGCCTAGGTCTGCATTGAACTAGCAGCACCAGATGTCCATTGTTGATGGTGATTATGAATATAAGGTTATGAAGATGTGATTTACTTATTCAGAGAGAGCAAACCATATGTCAACTGGCTATAAAGATAAGAGACAGATACAGGCTGTGATTTTACATTGGGGAGATGGAGTTTTCAATTGCAGATTGGCACCCATGGAAAAATAGGTTAGTTGCAAACTAGCTTGTAACCTAAGTAATATTTTCCTTGCACCAGATGCGAATGGCGCAAGCCTAAGAAATGCCTACAAAGATTGAATTTGGATTACTACAAAGTTTCAATGCCAAAGTTTGACCTCGAGTTTGAGAAGCGCGTATCAGTTCAACATCCAAGTTTCAAGGCCACATTCTGGGAAAAGGACATATTTAGATTTTATGGGGTTTAGGAAATCAAATGGCAGAGAGCCTTAACCACATTACAACAAAAGAATTGTAATAGGGCATGCACAAACATATGATAATCCCTTCATTGCTATCCGCAGTAAATGGGAGGTCTATTTCACCAGAATAAATCAACAGCAATCTACAGTTACGTGTCCTATCAAAGGCAATACCGCTCAAATCATTAGTATTCATGAAATAAAATCATATAAAATATTTTATTCAATGAAGAAAACTACTTAATTGCTTCTTCAAAAGAAATACTTTTCACATGCTGAAAAAGCCTTTTGATGGAGGGATTTATGTACAAAAGTGAATGATTAAAATAATTATCATGAAGATGTTATAAAAGGCAAGGCAGATTGACTCCCTAGTAATATCCAGTATTCTAAACCAAGCACAAAAGACTAGATATAAATTATTAAATATCATCTAGATTCCTAAGTTTTCATTGAAGACAAAGAAAAAGGCACACTCACCCCCAATGAAAATGTAGACAGTGCAGAACTGCGAAACATAATCAAGCCAACATAACGGCGATCAGAAAAGAGATTTGACCAAAACACGAAGTATAAGGACATGATTGTTATGAAAATGGCATGTACAGTTGATATGGATCTGCACAAAACTTCCAGAAATTAATTCTGTATTGATACCAAAAATAATAATCATATATTCAAGCTAAGTAGAAATATCAGTCACCGGTTGTTCCACTCATTGCGTTGGGCTTTTGATAGCATAAGATAGCTCTTAAAGTAAACACTGCTAAACAATTGCGTAAGATCATAGACCTGAAAAAGGGCAATGATCAGACATAGTTAGGAAAAAGAAGGGAAAGCTAGTAGAAGAGACATTTAAGAAGAAAACAAAAAGGCTTAAGCATAGAGATGGTAGAAACAACAGTAAAAACCAAGAAGAAACAAAAGCTCGATGTAAGAGAATCATCATTAATAATTTTTTTAATAAAAGAATGCTACATGAGGCAGCAAATTGTGATTATAGACGAACTGAGATATTTTCAGAATTGAATAATGAATCTGAAAATTGAGCAGGAAACATACCATCTTGCAAGCACAAATACCGCAAATAACTGATGTGTATGGGATCAAAGAATTTGCCAGTAAATATTCCTTTAGCAGCAGCTCAGCTTGATTCTGATATGATTGTATCTCCATAATCGCTTATTCAGAAACCAGTATCGTATCACATTCCTATTTCCTCCACCAATCAGTCTAAGAAGATGAATTTTCCATTGATTCCTCGATGTTATATTCTTCTCGTTCTTCATGATGAATAGACATGAGAAAAATTAGATAAAAGAAAAATGAAAAGTTCTATGCCCTGACTATATTTGCTGCAATTTTGAAATATAATGCACCACTTTGGTTTCTCTCCTATCCAAGGAAAACAGAACGAATCACTTTCCTCGTCATACATGAGAAGCAATTAGAAAATCATATTATTAAGTACTTCTAGTTTTTTTGTACAAATCATCTAAAAGGCGGAGAGATAGGGGTAAGTGTCAATAGCTATGAGACAAAAATGTAGTTAAACGAGGAGTGGCAATTCTGGGTCTAACTCATGATTGCCTATCCTTAAAGTTGTGCTACTCATAAAACCGGATCACCATATAAGACTAGGGCTCCATTGCAGTAAAAACATATATAATGCATTTCGATCTCGAACATATGCCAAAAACTTAGCATTAGCAACAATTGAGTCCTCCAAATTCCTAAAGCTAGCCTAAAGAGGTGGTATTTGACAGATTTGGGGTTCCAAACCCAGAACCCTCAACTCTTTTCCCTACTTCTTGTTGAAAATAGGTGGCACTACCGAAAGTTGGCCAAACTTTCGGTGGAAATTATTTTCGGTGACAGCATTTGTTGACATTTAGAAAGGGCAAAATACAAATTTAGTCATTGTAATTTAGGGTATTTACAAATTAGTCCTTAAACTTCAACTATAAATACCCTAGCTCATTTAGCTTAAAAATCATCCAAAAGCATTATAACTTTCTTCCAATACTAGAGAGAATTTAGAGAGTTTCTTGAGAGTTGTTTTCTCATTTTTATCAAGTGAGAATTATCATTGTTTTCTCCTTGGTAGATCGAGAGAAGTTGTAATTCTTATTTTCTCATAGTGAAATTCTTCTACCGTTGCCCGTGGTTTTTACCCTATATTATTTAGGGGTTTTTTACGTAAATTTTGTGTCTCTTTTATCTTCATTTTTATTTTCTCAAATTTCAGTTGTGATTTTGCTCTATCCGATAGCCATCTTCCGCAACAATTGGTATCCGAGCCAAATTTGAGCGTGTAATATATGCTTATTGTCTTTATGGTTGCCACCAAAAGGTGGATCCTTCAACATAAGAAAGTAAGAAGGTATTACCCATTCTTTGAAGGTTCCAGAAAACTATTCATGATAGTGAAATAGTGGGAGTTATCCGTAATAGAAGCTATGGCAACGAAATTTGATATTGAAAAATTCAATGGGAGAAATTTCTTATTGTGGAAATTGAAGATGAAGGACATCCTGAGGAAAGACGGGTGTCTAGCAACTATCAGTGAAAGGCCGGTAGATTTCACAGATGACAACAAATGGATCGAAATGGACGGGAATGCTATGACAAACTTTCATCTAGCATTAGCAGATGAAGTATTGTCAAGCATCGAGGAGAAGAAAACATCTAACGAGATATGGGATCATCTCACCAAACTGTACGAGGCCACATCGCTGCACAATAAAATTTTCCTTAAGAGAAAATTGTACACTCTCCGTATGCCAGAATCTACTTCAGTGACGGAGCACTTAAATATATTGAACACTTTATTTTCTTACCTTACATCCTTAAGCTGTAAAATAGGAGAACAAGAACGTGCTGAACTTCTACTTCAAAGTCTATCGGATTCGTATGATCAACTCATCATCAACTTGACAAACAATAATATCACCAGTCTAGTCTTCGATGACGTTACAGCTGATGTTCTACAAGAAGAAAATCGGCGCAAGAATAAGGAAGATAGACAAGTAAATCTACAACAAGCAGAAGCGTTGACATCGATGAGAGGGAGATCAACAGAACGTGGCCAAAGTAGTAGATCGAAGTCGAGGAGAAAGAAGAATTTAAAGTGCTACAATTTTGGAAAGAAGGGTCACTTGAAGAAGGATTGTTGGAGTCTAAATAAAAACTCCAATCCAGAAGGCAATACCGCAAACACTTCAGATGATGGAGATGCTCTATGATGTGAAGCGTCAACCACCGTGGAAGGTAGAAAAATATTTGCAGATATATGAATCATTGATTCAGGAGCAACATATCACATGACCTCAAGAAGAGAATGGTTCCATCATTATGAATATGTCTCAGGAGGATCTGTGTATAGTTACAATGATCATACCTTAGAGATCATTGGCATGAGAACCATCAAATTGAAGATGTATGATGGAACAATTAAAGTTGTTCGAGAAGTGCGGCACATGAAAGGCCTGAAGAAAAATTTATTATCCTATGGATTGTTGGATAATAATGCAAGCAAGATTGAAATACGGAAAGGAATCATGAAGGTGTTCCGTGGAGCGCTTGTGGTGCTGAAAGGAGAAAAGATAACTGCAAACTTGTACATGCTGAAGGGAGAGACTTTGCTAGAAACAGAAGCCTTTGTTGCCTCATGTAGTTCAGATTCTACAATGCTATGACATCAGAAACTTGGACACATGTCAGAACAAAGAATGAAAGTCCTTGTGGGGCAAAAGCTACTTCCAGGCTTAACAAATGTAACACTTCCTTTATGTGAGCATTGCATAACAAGTAAGCAGCACCGGTTGAAATTCAACACGTCAAATTCTAGAGGCAAAAGTGTTCTAGAATTGGTTCATTCTGACGTATGGAAAACACCAGTTATATCCCTAGGTGGAGCAAAATATTTTGTCTCATTTATTGATGACTACTCCAGGAGATGTTGGGTGTACCATATTAAGAAGAAGTCAGATGTGTTTCCACTTTCAAAATCTTCAAAGCGTGGGTGGAACTTGATTATGAAAATAAGATCAAGTGTTTCAGAACAGATAATGGAGGAGAATACACAAGTGAAGAATTTGATGACTTTTGCAGGAAAGAAGGCATCAAAAGACAATTCACAGTGGCGAATACTCCTCAACAAAATGGAGTGGCAGAGCGGATGAACATAACCTTGTTAGAAAGAACAAGAGCAATGTTGAAGGATGTAGGCCTAGAAAAAAATCATTCTGGGCAGAAGCAGTCAATACCTCCTGTTATTTGGTGAATCAAGCTCCATCAACTGCAATAGAGCTGAAGACATCAATGGAGATGTGGACTGGTAAACCAGCTGATTATTCAAACCTCCATGTATTTGGAAGTATTGTGTGCGTGATGTACAACTCCCAAGAAATTTCAAAGCTGGATCCAAAATCCAGGAAATACAAATTCTTGAGGTATGCTTATGGTGTAAAGGGGTATCGCTTGTGAGATTCATCTGCCCTCAAAGTGATCATCAGCAGGGATGTTATCTTTGTAGATGATAAACTACAAAGAAAAGAAGATGATGATAGCGCTGAAAATCAGAGACTACACAGATACATGTGGAAAAGGAGTTTGAACAAGGAGATTCTTCTGAAGCAGAACCAGCACATGATGAATAAGAACCAGAGAGTTCTGAAGCTCCAACAACTCGTCAATCAGATCGTGTGAGAAGATGTCCCAATTGGCACTTAGATTATGTTATAGAAGGAAATATTGCATACTGCCTTTTAACAGAGGACGGTGAGCCATCAACATACCATGAGGCAATAAACAACTCAGATGCTTCACTATGGATGATGGCGATGCAAGAAGAAATTGAAGCCCTTCATAAAAATAATACATGGGACCTTATGCCACTACCACAAGGAAGGAATTCAATTAGTAATAAATGGGTCTTCAAAATCAAGCGAAATGGTGATGATCAAGTGGAGAGGTATCGTGCAAGACTGGTGGTCAAAGGATATGCTCAGAAAGAAGGTATTGATTTCAATGAAATTTTTTCTCCTGTGGTTTGACTAACAACAGTTCGAGTAGTCTTGGCAATGTGTGCTACATTGAACTTACATCTATAGAAGCTAGATGTTAAAACAACTTTTCTTCATGGAAATCTTGAAGAAGAGATTTATATGCTCCAGCCTGAAGGTTTTGAAGAAGAAGAAAAGAAGAACTTGGTTTGCAGGTTGAACAAATCTCTGTACGTTCTAAAGCAGGTGCCGAGGTGTTGGTATAAGAGATTTGATTCCTTCATTATGTGCCTTGGATACAACAGACTTAATGCAGACCCTTGTGCTTATTTCAAGAGGTCTGGTGATAATGATTTTGTTATATTGATGTTGTATGTGGATGACATGTTGGTTGCAAGACCCAACAAAGATCATATTGAAGAATTAAAGGCACAACTGGCTAGGGAATTTGAAATGAAGGACTTGGGATCAACAAACAAGATTCTAAGGATGCAAATTCACCGAGACAGAAGTAATATGAAGATTTGGATTTCACAAAATAATTACTTGAATAAGATCTTGTCACGATTCAACATGCAAGATTGTAAGCCAATTTCTATCCCTCTTCCTATTAACTTCAAATTATCCTCCAGTATGAGTCCTAGCAGTGAAGAAAAGAGGATGAAGATGTCTCGAGTACCGTATGCATAAGCAGTGGGAAGTTTAATGTTCTCTATGATATGCACAAGACCAGACATTGCACAAGCAGTGGGAATGGTTAGTCGGTACATGGCGAATCCAGGCAAAGAGCATTGGAATACAGTAAAGAGGGTTTTGAGATACATCAAAGGGACCTCAAATGTTGCATTATGTTACGGAGGATCAAATTTACTTATCAATGGGTATGTTGATTCTGACTATGCAGGAGATTTGGATAAAAGAAAATCTACTAAATGATAGTGTTCAAAATTGCTGGTGGAGCTGTAAGCTGGGTTCAAAATTGCAATCAGTTGTGGCTACGTCCACAACAGAAGCAGAATATGTAGCAGCTACACAAGCCAGTAAAGAAGCAATTTGATTGAAGATGCTATTGGAGGAGCTTGAGCACAATCAAGAGTATGTATCTCTGTTTTGTGATAGTCAAAGCACCTTGCATCTAGCAAGGAATCCAACATTTCATTCAAGGACAAAACACATACGAGTTCAGTACCATTTCATTCGTGAAAAGGTGGAAGAAGGGACGGTAGATATACAGAAGATCCATACCAAAGACAACATAGCATATTTTATGACGAAGGCAATCAATGCTGATAAATTTACCTGGTGTCGATCTTCTTGTGACCTGTCAGAGACGTAAGCAACATGATGGTACAAGGTACAAAGAATGGTGTAAAGATATGATTGTTCAAATCAAATCTTCAAGTGGGAGATTGTTGAAAATAGGTGGCACCACCGAAAGTTGGCCAAACTTTCGGTGGCAACATTTGTTGACATTTAGAAAGGGCAAAATACAAACTTAGTCATTGTAATTTAGGGTATTTACAAATTAGTCCTTAAACTATAACTATAAATACCTTAACTCATTTAGCTTCAAAATCATCCTAAAGCATTCTAGCTTTCTTCCAATACTAGAGAGAATTTAGAGAGTTTCTTGAGAGTTGTTTTCTTCTTTTTATCAAGAGAGAATTATCATTGTTTTCTCCTTGGTAGATCGAGAGAAGTTGTAATTCTTATTTTCTCATAGTGAAATTTTTCTACCGTTGCCCGTAGTTTTTACCCTATATTATTTAAGGGTTTTTCACGCAAATTTTGTGTCTCTTTTATCTTCATTTTTATTTTCTCAAATTATCAGTTGTGATTTTGCTCTATCTGATAGACGTCTTCCGCAACACTTCTATCCTAGGTCGTGATTCCTTTTGTACCAAAAGAAAAAAAAACATGGCAACACATCAAATTAAGATAACAACATACAATCAATTCACTTCCATAAAGAATGGTCATCCTACATCAAAAGCGCTTTGGTTTTGTATTAAGCTGATAACTGAATTGCCAATAAACAGCTATCTTAAAGCAAACAAGTTTAAGCTAAATAACATACAAGGCAACATAAAAAATCAGGGTTTCTTACCCTTTGAGAGGGGGGGGAAAGAAACACCTCTGATTTCTATTTCATTTCTGGGAAAAATGTTCAACAATATGATACATTGCAGATGAACAAGAAAATGTTAATTACTCCTAATGCATTCCTTTAAGCTATTAAAAGAAACAATGAAATTAACAAATAAAATATCACTGATTTATTTGCAAGAAAGAGAAAAGGAAAATGCAGTCAACTTAAATATGAATTCAGAACAATCGAGAACCAAATGCTACATCAAACTAACAACTAAACACAATCTGGAAAAAAAAATCAATATATAACTAACAATTCCAAAATGATTACAAAATAAAAGAAAAAAAACAGCATACAAATTATCCGAAAAGAGAAGATAATGAAAAGGAGAATAGGGTTACCGGAACCGGGGAAAATGAAAATATCGGAAAGAGCCAATTAACGCCTCAAAAGTAAAAAAAAAAAAAGAAGGAACTTTTCATAAGAAAAATAATGTGATTTAAGCTTTTTGTCAAAGCTAATGTTAATGTAAATTAAATGAAAAGAAAACAGTTAATGTAATTAATAAAATCTAAAAATAATAATGTCATATATTTCACATTGATTATATAATTTTTCTTATTTATTTAGAGCAGATAATCAACACAAATAAAGTGGTTTTCGTGACAAATAGATTGTTATTAATTAATGACCCGAGTTAGAGCACTTAGAATTTATTTTTAATCAAATAGTATTAAATTTGAGTATTTAATACAAATTTAATCAATAGGCCTAGTTTTGAGAGATTAGTTTCTGGCCTTAATCCCATTTGGCCAGGCTTAATTAACACCTGTCGAGCAGGAGCAGAGTCTCTAAATATATGGGACATCAACTCCATTGCCGCTCCACATGATTGATCCGTTGCTTTTCCCGTTTGAGAGAATACTTGCTTTGCAAAATAAACTCGGGGGTCAACCTTTATACTTTGCCATCGTCGTAGTGTCTCTTCTGTTTTAAACCTCTGAATTTAAGCATTTCTAGCAGTGAATTGTTTTCTACCCTCTCGTCTTCACGCTCGGGTATCTGCTCCTCCATCTGCCATAGCTAGATGCACAGCAGCAAGCGCAATGAGAGTCTTTGTTAACTACCATGTTCGTCCCAAAGCCATTTCTTAATCTTCGGTCGCACAAAGGCCCTATCGAATCAATCCAAACTCTCGCCGTTGAACCATCACCTAGAATCTACATGATCTCATCCCGAACCTCCTTCCAAATTGTGCAATTGTCATGCGAGCAAAGTCTACGTTCAATATCCATCGGAACAAGCTCGTTAATTGACTTCAAGCTTATCCCACGTGAGGTTAACATGGCTGCGGATTTTCTAGATTTTCAGATTTCGACAGTGCTCCTACAGGTCTTCATGCGATCTTGGATCGGGATGTTTTACTCCCTCCTTATATCCGTTTTTGTTAAATTACCTAAATTTGTTGTTAGGCTGGGAAAAAAATATATATTTTACAAATCTAATGACATTTATATCTTATATATTTATTATTTATTTCTAATAATATTAGTCTTCTTGTTTGAGTTGTTAAATTTTAATACTTTAACCTTCTTTTTTTTAAATGTTTATTTATCTAAATAAATGTATTCATAAACATTAATAATTTTAAATAAGAAAATTTTCCATTCTTAAACAGTAGTACAATATTATTCCCCGCTAATAAAATTTTGGGTAAGATATATAAAAGATTCCCTAACTATATGATGTTACTTTGTTGAATCTTTTATTCATTAAAAGTTACGAAATAACATGTTGACTATAAAATATCATTTTGTTGAGTCACCGACTATTAAAAGTTATAAAATGAAAATGATCATCCGATTATGTATGTGTTCGAAACTTGTCATTTTCATTTGAAAAATTGACAATAGTTTGAGCATATGAATAGTCGAATGACTATTTTATAACTTTTAATAGTCGATGAACTCAACAAAACAATATTTTATAATTAGAAAACTATTTTAGAATTTGTAATAATTCTAACACTCAATAAAACGTCTTATAGTTGAGAGAATGTATATTATCCTAAAAATATGTACTTTTTGATATCGTTAAGATACATCACTTTAATAAATTAAAACATGTGGACTACACAGTGCCGTTAAAAACTAGTGGAAAGGAAGGGTGTCACTTTCGTCTAGGTTTGTAAGGAGCAGAAGAACCCAGTGTTGCAGTAGTGGAAGAAGACGATGATGAAGAAGAAGAAGTCCGATTTCGATGGGCTTTGTCTTTGTAAAATGCCTCTAACAGCTCTTGTTTAAGTTCATTGAATCGCCTCCTTTTCAGTCTTTGTTCTTCCAAGCTGCCTTGTTCAAACAAACATGTTGTATCATCCACCAAGAACTTGTCCAGCTCTTGCGCACACTGTGGGAAGTATCTCCTCCCTGTTTCCGCTGCCATTTACACACAGTTCAACCCAATGAGTTCGAAACCAAGGGGCGGATGTAGAATTTTATGTTAAGAGATAATTTATAAAAATTTAAAAGAGAATAAATTTATAAAATTTAAGGGCGAAAACATATTGTTAATAAAAAAATATTTAATATAAAAAAATCTCAAATCATACAATTTTCTTATTTAGGTGCCTAAACCATTTTCTGGTTAGTTTAAAATATATCTAGCGTATTCAATGTTATCATTTTAAATTTCTCGACTATTATAGGCATTATAAAAATTTTATCAACCACTTAGAATGTGACACATGGTGTCTTTATAGATTTTTAAAAATTTTATTTTTTGAAAAAATTCAAAATTATTATTATTTTCAAAAAAATCTAATAATATTTCTAAAATCTCAAAAAAAATTCAAAATCATTAATCTCAAGCATCCACCTCACCCATAGATTGTCCGCCGCTGCTACCTCCCCCATCGTATGTCTACTCACAGGCGTTGTCTAACCACCCATCATTATCAATTGTAGTTTTAAATCCTCAAAACTCATAAATTATAATCCCTAAATCTAAACCTCTCTAAACCCAACACATCCATCACAATCAACGTGTCGACGAGTGAATGACAGATAGATGAGTGGGTGGTCGTCGGTGGTGGTGGTGGTAGAGGTCAATGGGTGAATTAAAGGTCTTGAGCTATTTTATGAAAAATAGGAAAAATTGAAGTGTTTTTTTAGAAAATTTATGAATTTTATTCTTTAAAAATATTAAAGGAAATAAAAAAACAAGCCACATACCAAATATTGATTGACAGACTTATTTTTTAATGGTCGTTTCGTCGTAGATACCTAAAGTATAACATTTGTAACGTTAGACACTAAATTGACAAAAAAAATTAATCATTTTAAAACAGTATAGTTTAAACGCTAATTTTTATATTAAGTCATTAAAAATACATAGACAATCTAAAACAAATAAAAGAAATCAAAATTTTCAAAAAGATTATTGCTCTCATCTGTCCATATCTGTCCACAATTACGAAATAGGTGACGAGGGATGATACCTGTTTTAAAGAGGGTAAGCAACCTCAAATGAAGCCTTGTGGTGTGTGCTGTAAGTGATTCGTTCAAATCAACTTTGCATGTATCTGCGTCTGCAATTTCCATGGCTACCTTGGCTTCCGCCGGATATAACAACCTTGCAAATGAGACTGACCACAACAACAAAACTTGTTACTATCACCACTCGCAAGGATATACTTAGCTCTACACAATTTTCAGAATAAATTACCTCGATTCTCATAGTAGTCCAATTTCATGTGTAAATCATAAGTGATCTCTTGTGATGGAACCCCAACATTCTCTGATTCAGAACTCCGCATCTTCGTCTCGAGGACATCAATGCATAAACGATCTTTGTTCGACGGTTCCCCTTGCTTTTTGTTCTCGTGATAATCCTTGGCCCGAGTTAGTCTCCTGCAGATATCGATGGCAGTTCGGCCGTCCGGCGTAGTTTCAGCCACACGGGCTCCCTTATTCAACAATGCCACCAGCACCGACCATTCCTTGCGTCTCGCGGCGACATGGAGAGGCGTGAATCCTCGACCGTTCCCGAGGTTGACATTAGCCAACCTGAGACTAAGAACCTCATTAACGATTTTGGGATCACAGTAAGCAGAGGCATAGTGGAGTGCATATGCTTCATCTAATGTGACATAAACATTGGATTCATTGAGAAGTAATTTCAACAGCTCAACATCATCAGAATCCAGTGCCTTGTGGATTCTCCGGATTTTTTTTTCAAGGTCCAAGTCGGACTCCATTGCGGTGGGCTCAGATTCGAGACGGAGTGACCGAATCTTGCCGTAGACTTCCGGAGGCAATTCTTTCTCTAGACATACGTTGTCGAGGTCGGATTTCGCCACCCTTTCGATGCAGTTGGATAAAAGCTGATTCAAGTTATAGTGAAACGCAGCTAGGAGAATTGGGATCACATCTTCTATAAGTGCCTCCCCAACAATGTTCAAAAGATGGCGCTTCATTAATACAAGCAAGTTAAGTCATAAAATTGTCCATAAATTCAGTTTTAGATATACTCAAATACAAGGAAGAGAGCAGTATATCAAAATGATCATATGCTGCCCAGTAGCAGAGCCTGGCAGGAGGGGCACTGACCTGAGCCCCAAAATTGATAAGTCAATATATAATTAAAAAAAATAAACTACTTATTTAATCATTCAATTGTTATTTTTTAAAACCGTTCCTAATACTATATTTTAGTTTTACTTTGATCATCCATTGTTAAAAAATTAATGGCGATACGGACATTACATTTTTTACATTTTTTTTTTTCAATTTCCACATAACTATTCTCTAATTATTTTTTAACGAGATACATGAGTGAAACAGAACCATGGCCCTTTTAAAAGAATACATAATTGTTTTGTGTGAGTAGTTGAGTTTAATAAAAGTTATATTTTTTTTTGCATAATGTCAAAAAATGTCCATAATATTTGATCAAATAGTCACATTGGTCCCTATGCTTTTTTGGAGCATTTTGGCCCCTAATATTTTGTTTTGGAGCAAAAAAAAAACATTTTTGTGAATGAAAATCATTAGTTAATAAATGGATAATGCTCCAAAATACTCCAAAAAAAAATAAAACCCAAAGTAATTATTTGGTCAAACATTAGAGTCTTTTTTACCTTAAAATGAAAATGTAACGCCCCAAATCACAAGTTAGGAGTTGGGCTTTCCATTGGGCCTTGGAATAAAATTTCATAGCTTATGAGAGACTTGACCCAAGTGAATTTTGTTTTAGGCTTAGTAGGAGCTCAATAAGAGATAAAAAGGATGTCTTTAATCATAGACCAAAAAAAGGAAGGAATAAATGAGTAAATAACCCATTTTTCAAAACAAGGTTGAAGTCCCATTAAGTGGGATTTTATCACGTCTTAAACTCTTCTTCTCTTTTTCATACCACCCTTTATCTCATTCTCTTCACCTCTTCATCTTCCTTCTTCCCTCAAGAGCAAAACAAAGTTTGAAACTTTAAGAATTTCAAGCACTCTCTAAAGTGAAGTTTCCAAGGTAAGAACCTTAACCTACTCCCTCCAAGATTCAATTTAAGCCCTTCTTTGCAAGTTTTAGTTGAGGTAGCCAAACATGGGTTTAGTGGAGGATTATGGAACCTTAGGTTTCCAGCTCGTTTTTGAGAGATTTAAGTTGTAGAAATTGTTTCTAGCATTGTCTTAAGTTCCAACATGAGTTAACAACACATTTTCCTTTGTCATGATTAGTGTGAGAGAAAGGAGAAAGCTATAAGGCAAGGGGCAAGGAGAAGTTAGTCATTAGGTGATTTGAGGATGTTTTCCAACAGTTTAGCACCAAGGTTACATGCTTCTAACTTGTCCATACCACATGGTAGATTTCACGTGTGCTTTTTTTGGCACGAAATGTGACTCCTTTTAACCCTTAATACCTTAAATAAGACTTAAATAATGTTTATTGACCTTGGTAGGATGAATGGGTAAGGTTAGATCACATTTTCATGCCCAAAATAGGACACTTATGGATACGAGTATCGGTACTGGAAGAACAATACCGATATTATTCTTCCACAAGCGTGAAATAAGGGAGTTTTGGGAAGGTAGTTTATACATGCATCACAAGGCTTACATCAAAGGAAGATGGACTAGCATTTCAAATTGACCCACACGATCAAGCCTTAGAAAAGAAGACCAACATAGTAGCAGACTTGGGACTGTTTTTTAATAGGATTATGATGTTATTTGGTCAACATTCTTCTAGAGTTATGACTGGGTGACTCTTAGCTTTCCAACGATTCTTGAATCGCATTAATACGATATTGTGAACTCAAGATACATTCATTTTAGTGAAGATAACGCATGCAAAAATTCCTATACGGGTTAAATACAAGATTTTAGAAATAATATAAATTTTTAATATTTTTATTGATTATTTGTAATATAATTTATTATAGGATGATGCATTATCATTTAGGGTTAGACCTATTTATCGAGATTACATTTTCATTGCAACTAAGATGGTTCAATAGAACATTTATTCATCTATTTCCATCATATCCATATTCATTATCAATATCATCCACACCACTATCTCAACGATTTGGCCATAAACCCTAATTTGGCTAAGTTATCCTATCTTATCTTTAATTATCTTTAGTTATCTTTATCCTTTTGTTTCCCTTATCTTGTTTTGTTTAGTTATCAATATCAGCTCCTTACCGCCGCCTATATCATCTCAATCTTTCCCTCTAGTTCTATGATCGAGTCTAGAGCTTTCTAGGTTTGATTCCTTAATGAGAGCAACATTCATTCATCTGCTGCCATATCTCTATCAATTGACATCAGATTTGGGACGATTCTTGGGAAGAATCAAAGTAACTTAACTTGTTCTTCAAGCATAAACTGCCGAAGTAACTACAAGGAGTGAGAAAATTCATCATTTTCAAATTTTTTCAATTTAATTTCAATTACTACTTGTTAGTTTTCTATTTTTATCAAAAGAAAAAAAAACCAAAAAATAAAAAAAATCCAAAAATTATAAACGAATGAATTTGAAGCTTATTTTTTTACAAGAATATACTTCATATAGAGAGGATTCTACAGTCCAAAATTCAGCTCAATTGGACTTCATTTGGATCTCCAATTCGATCTTTCAAGTTTGTTCGGTATATTTGAGTTCTTCTCATTGACGAATTTTCCAGAATTTTCTAGGAATAATTTTGTGCTACAAAATTCCATATTTCAACTAGACTCATTTAAGAACATTCACAAAAAAAATCAAAAAACTTTCAGATCGTAAATTCCCTAAAAAACGTTACTCAAGTTGATCCAACGTTTTAGGTTTTTTTAGGTTTGGGGTTTCCAACTTTTCTTTGATTCTTATTGCTTTATGTTCCTTTGTTTTACCTTTTCCTTGTTCCTCTAATCATCTAACACATTCTTCTGCTTGTGTTAGTATGATTAAAAGAGTTTGCATATTTATTCTTCCTTGTATTTTCATTCACTTGGAGTCATACCTTTCCTTGGCTTCTTAGAACTTCTAAGTTTCTTTTACTCTTTTGTTAGTGATCAAACTCTGATACGAACATTTAAAAACTTTTTGGTAAAGAGAGTTTTAAAAAGTAAAAAATCAATTTACTTGTCTCTCAATGTGTTACTTCCTTGGAGTGAATTGTGAGGTTTCTTGTTTCTTTGATTTTTCTTTTTTACTTCACATTATTGTTTTTTAGTGTTGTGACTTTTCACGATGGTAAAAAATGAAGAAGTTACCGAGGCAATACGAAGCCTCATGGCTGCTATTGGCCTAAAAATGACAATACTTACTGTTCTTCAATAGCAAACAACGACAATGAAAATACAAATGGTCAATCTCACAATTGAAAGACAACAACAAGCAAATCTGAATGTTGATAACCCACCCAGGGAAGTCATAAAAGATGAGCAACATAATTCAATGCAACATAGATGTGCACAACCAAGACTCAACATGACAGAACTCTTTGTAAAACCAAAATTCACAATTCCATAGTTCAAAGGCGAGTATGATCCAGGCGGCTACATACATTGGGAGAGCAAAGTTGACCTTTTGTTTTCCTACAACAATTGTCCCGCGGAAGAACAAGTATCACTAATAACTTTGAAATTCTAGGATTATGCTCTTACTTGGTGGATGCAAATAAGAAAGGCTATACAAGAAAGTCGTATACAAGCAATCACATCATGGGAATCTATTAAAGGATTCGTAAGACATCGCTTTCTTCCGACACATTACATATGTGAATTAAAACAACGACTTCACCGACTACGACAAGGAAGAAGTTCAGTTGAAGACTACTATAAAGAGATGCAATAATTGTTGAATCATGCCAACATCATTGAAGAAGAGGATGACACAATTTTGAGATTTATAGTTGACTTAAACCCAGACATAATCAACCTCCTTGATCTACACAACTATGAGAATCTTAAAGATACACTAAAAAAAGCCATGACTATTGAAACACAACTCCAGAGAAAGTATAGCTTTAGAGACAATATTCAATATACTTCATTTACTTTTCATAGTACTTCTTCTACTCTCACTTCATCTTCTACCCCCACATTCTGTCGCAATAAAGAGAGATGAAAGGCCTAATGTGGCTAACAAAGACATGACCGAAAACATAAAAAAGTCTCGAATGAGAGATATCTTACGCTTTAATTGTAAATGATATGATCATGTCAGTCACGATTGTCCATTATGAAAAATTTCGTAATCCTAGAGGATGGTACTGAATCAGATACGGATTGTCCCGACCTTATTGAGAAAAACACACAAGTGGATTCGGATAGTGATGGATTTGTCGAAAATTGTTTGGTAATTAAGAAAAACCTAAGTATACAAGTAGTGGATGACTCGGACGTACAAAAAACAAACATCTTTCACACAATATGTCAGATAAAAGATAAAACATACTCTTTGATCATCGATAATGGAAGCTGTGTTAATGTGATAAGCTATTATGCAGCGGACACACTTAATTTACCTTGTCAACATCCAAAGTCATGCAATTTACAATGGCTCAACGAAAGTGCTAAACAAAAAGTCACCAAGAAATGGCTTGTTAATTTGAAGATGGGCAAGTGTTGTGTTGATGTGTGGTGTGATGTATCCAATGCAAGCATCTCACATTCTTCTAGGAAGAACATGGCTATATGTCAATGATGTTACCTACTATGGTAAGGCGAACAAGTATTTTGTGAACATACACAACAAACCTTACAGTCTTAGGTCGATGTTACCGAAAGATATCCTATTAGATCAAAAGAGGATTTGTGAGGAGGTTGGAAATTTAAAAAAAAGGTAAAAGAAAAAGAGGTCACAACCCATAAAAGCTAAATGAATAACCCAAGGGGGGTGAGTGAAACTAGTTGTAAGCGAAAAATGTCACAAAACATTTATGCGAGCACAAAAGAATTGAGACCCATTTTTTCAAAACAAGTCGTACATCCTTATCAGTTTCAAAGAATCAATTTTTTGATTTCTACTAATCTCACAAGTTTGTCCAGTGTGTTTATTTATCTCTTATAAGATTTTCGAGAAGTGTTAAGTGATCCACCTAAAGGATTGCCACTAGAAAAAGGGAAATAACACATCAATCCAATTGAAGGTTTCATTATACCTCATCGAATAAATAATCTCGAAGAAACCAAGAAGTTAGATTTGTTACAAATAGGCTACATCCAGGAAAGCCTTAGTCATTGCACCATCTCAGTGATGAAATATGAAATCAACCACTCCAAAGATTCATGGACGAATTTGGAGGAGAGGGGGAATGATATGTGCATCATAAGCCTTGAAAAAGAAAACCAACAGAGTAGCATACTTAGGAATGCTTTTTGAATGGGATCATGATGTTATTTGGTCAAATATTTTTTGGATTTGCGAATAGTTGTCTATTAGTTTTCCAACAGTTTTTGAATCGCATCAATCCGATATCGCGAACTCAATATACGTTCATTTTAGTAAAGACATCACATGCAGAAATTCCTATATAGGTTATATACGAAATTTTATAAATATTACGAATTTTCAATATTTTTATTGATCATTTGTAATATAATTTAATATAGAATGATGCATTATCTTTTAGTGTTAAAGCCACTAATCGAGTTTTCCTTTTCATTGCAACTAAGAGGATTCGATAGGACAATTATCCATCTATTTCCATCATATCCATCTTCATTATTGTTGAACTATGTTTCGATATAACAATTTAAGGCAAAATGGTTTTTGGACTTGAATTGAATTTACAAAATGTATTTGGACTTAATTGAATTTATTCAAAATTTACAAAAATAATTCAAAGTTCTTTTAATTTAAAATTGAGCACAAAAATGTTTTTTATGAATAGTAATTTACAAAAATGTTTGAACAGTACCCCGAGGCTAAAAAATTCCAGTATGTAAAAGGGGAACCGATTCCCCCCAAGGGGGTACCGATTCCCTCACTGTTCATCAGCCCAACGGTCATAATATTTGAATATTATGAAGGGGTATCGATTCCCTATGAAGGGATACCTATTCCCCCATTCTGGGCAGCCTATTTTTGCAGAAAAAATCATTCCCAAACGGCTCCAAAACATCCTCAACGGCTAGATATGACTTCAAACACATTCCAAGCTATAAATACAAGCTAAGGACACTTGAAGAAGTAAGAGAACAACTATCCAAGCAATCAAACACAAGAGAAGAGTTTTTCATTCTTATTTCATCTTTCTCTTGTATATATTTTGTTCTTGTGAGCTCAATCTTGTAAACACCTACCTTAGAGAGGTTTTCTTGTTTACATTCCTTTTGTAAAGGGAAAGGTTCTAGCTAATCCCGTGTAAAAGCTAGGGAAAGGTTCTAGTTTAGCCCGGAAAAACTAGGGAGTTTGTAAGGTTACTCTTTATCCTCAAAAGAAAGAACAAATTAGTGAATTTGTTGAAAAATCCTTGGTGAGGAGCTAAGGTAGTGGACGTAGACTTTGATTGAGAAAGTCGAACCACTATAAATCGCTGTGCAATTCTCTATATTTCAATCTCCTTACTCCCTAAACACAAAACCGTTCCGACCCCTCTTTGCAAACCGTTCCGGTTATCGATTCGAGCTTCCGAAAATCCCAACAATTATCAATATCATCCACACATCTCCACAATTTGGCCATAAATCCTAATTTGGCTAAGTTATCATATCTTATCTTTAATTATCTTTATCCTTTTGTTTTGCTTATCTTGTTTTGTCTTAATCTTCTATTTGTCTCAATTTCCACAACCCTAATTCTTGCATACCATCTCCTTACCGTCACTTATAGTATCTCAATCTTTCCCTCTTATTCTTTGATCGAGTCTAGAGCTTTCTAGGTTTGATTCTTCAACGAGAACAACATTCATCCATCCGCTTCCATGTCTCTATCTATAGTACCGATATTCATTCATAGAGTATCAATATTGTTGGTCTGGTATCGATACTCGCAGGGTGGTATCGATATTGGGCGCACTTAGTGGATTTCAGAATGTATTTTTTTTATCGGTACTCAAGAGAATATCAATACCAAGGGTAGAGTATCGATACTCCCAGTAGGGGTATCAATATTGAGACATTTTCAAAACATTGAAACCATTTTTAGTATCGATACTTGAGGTAGTATCGATACCCTCCCATAGGAGTATTGATACTCCAATAAGAATATCAATAACGAAGGTTTTTCCAAAACATCGAAGCTATTTTCCGCACCGATACCCTAGGGTGGGTATTGATACCCTAGGATTAGTAATGATAGTGTTGGCACAGTATGGATACCATCGTCATGAATTGGGCAATTAATCATATTTATTTGAGTACTTGAAAAAAAGGGTTTTGGGGCCATTAGAACCTTGATTATAAGATTACAAGTGAGGACAACCAAAGCAACTATAAATACAACTAGAAATCGAACAATTAAGGATAACATAAGACCGGACTTGTATGACGCTTGGGAAACAATCAGGACACTCGAGTCTCCTTAGTAGTATGATGATTATTTTCATGATGTGATATCTGGATATAGGTTGCTAATGCGTTAGACGCTTTAGTTGCTAGCTAGGCATAAATGCCTCAAGTCTTGACAGAGTAAGTTGGTCGGGCACGTATACGATGCACGTAAAATTTTGGATCGCGCCCAATGCTCAAGAGTCTACATTTGGGCTAGGGATGTAATCTTTGATGCATGTAAAATTTTGGTTCATACCTGAGACTCTCGTATATTCAAGGTAAGCTAGTGTGTTGTCCCGAGATGCAGAAAATTCCTCCGACCACACCGCCAAACCTATCTCATGTTTGTTGTTATACTTTTGCATACCCATGACTTTAAGCATTGACATGTTCATGTAATGAATGCATGTAGTATTGCATAGTTATTAGCGTGACACTGAGCTTGTGAGCTCAGCGTTCGAAATTTGTTTCCATGCGCAGGTCAGTAAAGGATCGACGAGGAGCCTATCGCACAGATACAGTCCAGATCAGTTGTTCTTCAAAGTATGTCTTGAGTCTTCTAGAGGGCATGTATTATGTAGTCCTTGTATTATTCGATTCAAAACTCTAGTTTGATTTTAAACTCAGCGATTGTATTTTGTATGTATTGAGAGCTCCTCATATTTTGTAAACACTGATTTATGATTTTTTTATGTTAATTTGGATGGTTTAAATTGATGTCTTACAAACGATTTTGAAAGAAAATTTTGGATTAGCTACTTCGGTGGTTCATGTGACGCTCTAATCGTTCGATCTTCGGGTCAGACCATATTAGGGTGTTAGAGAAACATTAGGGTCAAAATACTCTAAAAATACAAATTAAAATGACCATTTTATCAACTTTAGGAGCTAATTTTAATATTATGCATAATATTTTCTGCTTAAAATTTGATGTATTTATTAGATAAGTTGTTAAGCATAATAAAATACATTTTACAAACAAATTAGTTTAGTTTTACTTACTCTTACAATTCAATTTTATGTTTACCCGTATACCATCAAAATCTCATAAAGAGGCATGTTCATATGGGTGGAGAAACATGTAGTTGGCAGAATATTTAAAGCAAAAACATGATTGGGGTTTACCTGAACAAGCAAAACCAGCTCTTTGATTTGGAAAGTTGCAGAAGCAAATATGAATTCCAAAGCATAATCAACAACAGGGCCACAAGCACCATGACAGCAGGCCCCGTCCACGCATGTCGAAACTTCCCGCGGCGATGCCTTAATCCTCCCCGTATACAAATAGTGCAACATCACTTTCAATACTTCACCTCCCACCCGACCATACGGCACCATCTCCGACATCTCGAACCTCGGTTTCCGACCGTCTTCGTGGTGTTGCCGGAAAAGTTTATGGAAATAGGGACTACGAGCGGCTAATATGCACCTATTGACACCCACCACGACATTGCCCTCCGCAACAATCTCAGCATCGTTGTAGACTTCGTACTCCTGGTTAACAAGTAGGGTTTCAAGGCTGGCACTGAGCTTGCTTAGGCTCAAATCTTCAGGGTCTGGACCAGTTTCCATTACGTAGTTTACTGACCCAGAACCATTTGATACATAAGAAGATGAAATCTCGTTCCCATATTCCATGTTTTTGTCTATCTCCAAATTCATGAGAAATAAACAAGGTAGATTAATCTGAGACTATTTAACGTGGGGGAAAGCTGGAAAGAAAACAGGGCGTGGCTTTGCTTGATAATCACTCAACAAAATTTTGGAAAAGAATGGGAAAAAAACTGACAGGGGCTTAAAAAGAATAAATCTTACAAGACGTTTGACGCAAAAACATGAGTCTTTCAGGTGGATTCTGTAAGAATTTAGGTCTAAATATGTCATAGTCTATGAACAATTTCAAAATTTAAATTTTTAGGATAAAATATATAAATGGTCCTCGATTATTCATATGTTTTAGAATTATCCTTTTTTGTTAAAAAATTTGATAGTTGTCTGAGTTTGACGTTACTTTATTGATTATGATATAATAAAATATGATTCTGAAATTGTTTGAGTTGTATTTTGTGGATCAATTTTCCATTTATATTATGTCATCAAGTCAGTACTTAAAACAATATATCGTTGAGTCAATGCTTGAAAGCAACAACAGTACTAGTAGACATCATTAAAATATGATTATATCATATCTCAATCAACATGCTAATGTTGACTTTAAATGTTGCCAAATTCTTTTAATAAAAATTGATGAGTTTGGAACAAATGAATAGTCAAATGACCAATTTTTAACTTTGAATAGTCAAATAACTCAACAAACAACGTTCTATAGTCATAAATCATTTTGTAACTTTTATAGTCGAGAGAATCAATATAACATTGTTCTATAGTCGATGAACCATTTTTATACTTTACCCTTTTAATAAATTTATAACTTTGAACTGTTGTATTATATTATTTAAAATTGGATAAAATTAAAAATAATGATTATAAAATGGATATCGTCGTTATCTGCTTTTAATTACTGTTAAAGGATATTCTTTCCAAAAAAAATACTGTTAAAGGATATTAATAGAAAAACATTGTTAAAGGATAAAATAATTATTATAACACTTTAAAATTAATAAATAATATCTTATTTGATCTATCAATTCTAATTAAAATTTTAATTTAATATTTTAAAGTTACAATTGTATAAAAAAATTTAAAAAGTAAAAAATATATGAAAATTTAAAATTTATTTAAAATTATAAAAATATTTTATAAAATTATAATTTTTAAAAAATCTTTTACAGATCATAAAATTTTAATAAAATATTTTGTTACAACTAAAAAATTAACATAAATTTAGAAATATAATATAAATTACACTTAAAACTTATAACTTAAACCACTAAAGCATAAGAATACTTCTACTATCCACAGGGTTGATAAAATTTTACTCTTAAAAATTTTAAGACTAATTTATTTTAGAAAATATTTTTTATTTTTATTATTTAAAAATATATTTAATTTTTATTTTTAAAATTTAAAAATATGTTTGGTTAATATAAATGAAAATTTATTTTTAGAAATTAAAATAGTTAAAATATTTTTAGTATCTATTTTTTAAATAGAAATTAACTATTAATTACTAAATAATTAAAATATAATATAATTATTACAAAATTTTATAATAAAAATTTATCAAGCAAGTTATGCATGATAAGAATTTTATAACAAAAAACACAAATTTCATACACAAATTATTTGATTTTTATAATAAAATTTTAATGTTACTGTTAATGCATGCATAAGTACCAATTAAATTAAAAATTATAAAAATTACTATTATAATCAAAAGAAAACACAAAAACTATCATTAAAAATGAAAAATAGTTTAATGTATCTTAGGCATTCAAACTATTAAAAGAATTAGTTTAATCCTGAATTATTATTTTTTTGCAGTAAATATGATCCTTAAATCTAGATGAAAAGAATTAATTTAGCTTTTTGATTAATGAAATCAAATGTTGATAGTTACGATACTTGTAAGCCCGTTCACGAAGCTCATGTGATAACCCATGATGCTGACGTGAACCACCACATCGACGTCATAACTGTCAACATTTAGTTTCATTGGTTAAAGGACTAGCTTGATTTCCCCCCTTAATTTTAAGGATTATATTGAGTATAAAAGAATTCAATAACCACATTAATTTTTGTTAAAGTATATCATTGAATGAAAAAATTATTGTTTTAAATTCGTGTAAGTTAAGCTAAAAACTTAAATATCATTTTTTTTTTATTTTTAAATTTTCAAAATGAATATAGTGAAAATATTGAAAACATACTTTTTTATGTTTCCAAAATTTTATTTATTTTTTTCATTTTTTAGAAATCATTTTTTAATTTTTTTTGCCTTCTTAGTTTTAGGGTTTTGCCATGACTAAATCGGATGGACCTATGTCGCACACCTAGCTTTGGGGGTGAGTCTCCTAACAAGGATTTTCTGCATGCACAAAGACTCAAACTCAAGACTTTGCTTAAGATATTTCAAGATGTTTACCACTTGAACCAACCTCGTTGACTAGAAATCATTTTTTTTTTAAAATTTTACAAGCAAATACGATTTCTTTAATAAAATAAAAATAATTAATAATTTTTAGAACAAAATTTTCAAATTATATTTTATCCTTATTTGTTAACATGTTATTTATAAAAGAATGTAGAGTAACTTCTTTAGTCTCTTAAATTTATAGTTTTTCTCAATTTAATTTTTAATATTTAAAATTTATAAAAAAATTATCAACAATTAAATAATATTTTCCAATCATCTATGTTTATAAATTTTAAGAGTCAAATTGATAAAATTATAAATATAGATAATTAAAAAAACCATTTTAACTTTTTTATAATTATTATATAATTTATTAATATTAAATTTAAAGAAAAAGAAAATTTATAAATTAAAAATATAAAGATTAAATATTGTAAAATTAAAATATAAAGACTAAATTTAAATTTTTAAAATAATACAAGTAAAAAGAAGTTTTAAAATATTTAAACTATTGTTTCAAGCTAACTGTTTCTAGGAATCTAACACTAAAAAGCTGTATTGTTACATCTTGTTGCCCATTAAGACAAAGAATAAAGCAGAAGATAAAAAAGGAATTAAACAAATAATAAAAAATTAGGAGTAGAAACGGCTGAAGATAAACTTCATATAAAGCTTTCGAGAAAGAGGAAAAGAATGTAATATGGTGGAAAATAATATAATATGGTTATTTATACAGAAGCAGATCAATTTGTGCAATGATATTGTCTTTATTATATTTAAAAATTATAGCTTTGTTACTTTTATTCAATCTACATCTAGTAGGATAGTTTGATTAATAAAATTACTGTTTAATGTATATGGGAATCTCAATTTTTGTTTCTAAAAAATAATATGGCTATAAAAAAATTTAGTGATCATTTAACCTATAGTTTCCATTGACGACCGTTACGATATTGACGTAGCGGTCCATAATGGTAGGTGAATTAAATTGATTTTTTGGTCGAGTTCAAAAGTCAAACTAATTCTTTTTAAAAGTTCAGGGAATTATTTAAATTATTTAAAATAAAAATTATTTTGTAGCACCCTAAACTCGTTGGGGCCTAAAGTGTCACATTAGGCTACCGAGGCAACTCTGATTTCAAACCTACACATTTTCTTTTCAAACATGTTGAATGATATCATAAATAAATCATCATTAATGTTATAAAAACCATTTTACAAAATCGGAGCTTTGTGACACATAATTAAGAATCAAAATAATAAGAACTCTGAGTTTAGTAAACTGAATACATATGCCCACTAAGCTACGGGCAGTACTATGAAGGAGATGCTAAAAATCATGTTGCGACGGTACTCCACGAATTGATCATACTACAATCCTGCTAATGAAAAACATCCGAAGCTAAGCTTACAAAGCCCAGTAGTATAATCGCTAATCTAGAGCAGCATAAGAATTTATAAACATAAGCATGTTGAAGATATGGTACTAAGCAGTAGGTACATGCATGATCTAGATTGGGTGCTACCTACAAGGCTTATATGTTCTATCTCTAAAGGGTCTCTAACCTTAACATCTGAATATGCTACATATTATCTAAATGTGTTACTGACTCTACTATGCATTATCTGAATTTTGTACTAACTCTGTTGTGCATTATTTGAATGCAATACTGACTCTGTTGTGACTCAGACACTAGCTAAGGTAGGCATCATGGTACAACTGAAGGGTTACAACTTGGAGCTCATGCACCCCTCTATCTACCAGATGTTAATATATGATACACGACAACAACCATAAAGTTTTGGAAGGCATCATGGTGCGGCTGAGGGATCTGCATCTCGGAGCGCACACACCCTTCTAGCATGTCGGTATACACTCGGGTACACCAAGGTGAGATTTGAAATCTACATTGAAAACGTACACCCGCCAACTTACTCTGTCGAGTCTTGGGGCATCTACGCCCAGCTGGCAAAGGAAGTGCCTTGGGACTGACTGGTATATACTTGAACATACTGACAAACAAGAAAATTGCCCTGCTGATAAAGTAACTCGGGTGTCCTGGTTGTTTCCCGAGTGTCATACAAAGGCTAGTTTTATGATATCCTAGCTATTATTTTTTCTAGTAGTTACTGTTATTATTTAGACTATTACTGTTATTATTTAGACTATTACTGTTATTATTTAGACTATTACTGCTATTATTTCTGTTTCTAACTGTTCTGAGTTATTACTGATCTCATTTATTATTCACCCTAGTTGTTAACTAACTCGTTCTCTAATCTAGAATGTTATGTGAGGAGTTACTAGTATATTATTTCTGATAATCTGTATTGATATGGTTATAGGCTACTCAAGGATATTTATGTCATTCTCTGACTCTGGAGAAGTCTCTACGTGTTTCGAGACTTCACGACAATTATTGTTTTTACTACTTACTAGCTAGGGTTCTGATTGGCCTGGTATCTGACTCAAGTTCATTTTTGGGTAGCGATGCTCTATTCGCAAATCCTACGCTTTCCCTCAATTCGCCCTCGAATTAAAGGAATAAATGTGTGTCCAAGGCTCTCGGTCATTCTTGCGGTATACGACACTACTATCTCA